TATAGATAGGATGTTTTAGCAAAATTTCAAATGTAGGGGGTTAAAAGAATGATTCAAAAAATAATAATAATAAATACTATTATATTAATGTTTAAAAAGAATGACAATTTAGTAATTTATATAACATATCCACCCATTTATCCTCCCAACCAAAAATATTATTCATCAATTTATTCAAACCAACCAAACACATTTTCTAAACATTCCTAGTAATCTTCAAGGTGATCTTTTTTTCCGTTAATATAATATATCCCTCTAATAAAATATTATATGATCCAAACGCCCCTTACAAGACAAAAAAGATTCCTAGTTGGTGTTAAATCGTAAAAAACACTGTTTGTTGATGGTTTATAGATCATCTTACTGTCCAGAGTGAGTAAAAGATCACCATATGGGATTTTGATAAGAACCCACCCCAACAACTCAAACAATTAGGCTAGGCCATGAGTCTTTTATGGGCTTGGGTAGAACTCTCCTTGGAAAATCGACTTGCCAAGAGAGGGTGTCCAACCCCTTATAACCCACATACCCACCCTTTTCCCTTCCAATGTGGGATCTTAACAATTTTCTTGATATTTTTTAACTGTGAAGAATTGCCATGGATATTAATGAATATTGATAATTCTTTGAGGTGTAAAGCCTAAAGGATGTTTATTAAAATAAAAAAAAAAAAAAAAAAAAGGGTATTAATTTTTTTATATTACTAATATTTTTACAATAGTAATTTAAAAAATATATAATTGATTGTTTATAAGCATTATTTCAGCCAATAATATATAAAATATAATATTAATGTAATATTTTAGAGTAAAAAGTATTTTTGCATAAGACTAAAGAGTTGGGTTGGCCAAGGTAGGCCTAGGGGAGGTTTCCATGTGGTGGAAGTTGGTGGAAGGTGGGTGTTGGCTTTCTTTGGTTTTTTTCCTAACCTGAGGCATGTCCGAGGTTGGAAGAATATTTTTGTGTGTGTGTGTGTGTGTTTTTCATAGTATTGTATAGGCTGTTTTTGGGGTCCTAACCCCGGGGATTGTCCTGGGGTAGGCTGATTGCCTTTTATATACGAAGTTGTTTTAACTGAAAACCAAATTACACCTACATACCAAGTTAAGTTCCCATGTTTAACAGACCCAACTAATATGAAGTCAAGTACATATCAAATGAATGACAAAGAATAAGTGGGGTTGGGTTATAGTGGCATAATAGTAAAGCAACCATAAATTACTTGAATTGCATTTATTCAAGATTTATATTTCTAGGTTTGAGAAGTTTCAAAGACTTTCTTGTAAAGTCTTATTGTCGACTTATGAACTTTGTGTGCATGTTTGTACTTAAGCACAATTGTGAATTCTTTGTTGGTTTGCACATGTGGTAATATCCTATGAATGTGCACACATATTTTTTGTTTTCTTTGATTGTGATTGAACAAAATATGTGAACACATTTTTATTATGTGCAAACATTTCGTTTCCCAGTATAGGTGGCACTTTTCTTTCTTGATTATAAAGTTTTATTTTTATGCAAGATAATTGCATTGCTTTGTCACTTTGCAGGTGTAACTCTTTCAAAAGAGTGATCCAAGGCTCCTTATTGAAAAGTAGCTTGTACGGTAGAGATGAAAAAGTGCAAGGATATAAATTGATCATCTTCTTCCTTGCGTTTCTTTAGACCTGGTATTTTGTTCTTCTATTGTAGCTTTGAATTTTTCATAGTTTATTTTGATCAGGTTTTCTTTGTTTGTGATTTATCTTTATCAATCACTTTTTTGATCTTTGAGTGTAAGAACTTGGTTCCTCTTTGTTTATGAGCTTAAAGGGAGTTAACCCAAGGAATTGAAGGGATGCTTCAACCATTGAAGCTTGAGGGGAGCTCAAGCAATCTAAGAGGATTCTTAGAGGAAGCTGATCGTGACAAGACCTTAAAGAAATCAAAGGGTGAAGTTTAATGTATCTTTGAACAGGGAGTTTTACTTTGCTTTATCTAAATTCAACTTTGGATTGTCTTGTAATGTTTTGTGTTATAGTGTATTAGCTTCGATATAGACCAAGTCCCATGGATGTTGGCTAAAAGTTTTTTTAGCCGAACCATGTGTCTCCTTGTGTGCTTTATGTTTATGCTCTTGGTTGATTGATATTGTTGTTGTTTTATGATCATAAAACAAATTAGTGTAACACCCATCCATAACCATTTCGTTGTGCTTCATAAGGAGTTGACAAACTTTTTCATTTCCTGTAACCTTGGCCTCTTCAAGGCAAATATGTGTACGATTCTTCTCATACATGCACAAAATAATGGCACCTACAACAATTTGGAAGCACAAGTTGGAAACCAAACTGATCCAACTAACTGAAAACAATCAGAAGGAAACATTGTAGCTTTTCTGAAGATTTACCAAACACGAGAAAATGGCTAGATGCAAAGGTCTGTTTTAAAAATATAAACTACAGTGACTAAAAGTCGATCTTTTACGATTTTGGCTTACAAATCAGTTTTGAAAAAATGGGTTAAAAGTTCTAAATGTTGGTATGTGAACTCTTTTTGGTAGTTGATGAAGATGTTGCTACAAAAGAAAAAGTATGTAGCGGCAAAGGAAGATGTTTAGCTCTAGAAAAATTCCAGAAGTAGGCTACCGCAGCGAGGAAAAATTCTTGTGATGGCACGAAGAAGAAACAAAGGAGAAACGTGAAGGCTAGGACGCCTGCCACGGCAAAGGAAATTTTATGTCACGGTGCAAATGCGATTCACAAACTTAAGTGTTTGATTTTTAGTAATTAGTTTCTAGTTTTAAAATTTTAGTTTAGGATTAACTGTTTTCCTTTTTTATTTTGAGTTGAATTAGGGAAGTAGAATTTGTTCAGGGTTATTATTTCATTTCCATTTTTAAGCAGGAGAATAGATTTTGTTTAGTTCTATGATTGTTACCTCTTTCTATATAAGAGAAGAAAAAAGTTGGTTTGTGTGTAATTAAGAGCGAGAAGTTGATCAATAAAATAATGGAAAAAACATTCCTTTTTATTTTGTTATTGCTCCAAATTCTAAAAATTGGTATCAAGGCAACCTCTCAATTTCCAACAATTGGTATCAAAGCACCCTATCAATTTTCAACAATTGGTATCAGAACTCTAATTCTTAAAGGGCCTGTGGGAGATGAAACTTGTGAGAAGATATGTTGCTCTAACAGAACATTGGAGAGAAGAAACCAACACCAAAAGCGGTAGGCTAAAGTTGTTGAAGAAAGGGTAAGTAAGTATTTAATGTGCTTACTTTATTTAAAAAAAAAAAAAAAAAAAAAAGGCTTCAATAGAAGGGTGGAGGAAGAAGAATGTCGGCAAGAACTGGCGAGAGGACTTGACGATGTCCAAAAAAGAAGCACGCCGAAGAACATGCTTTACACAACAAAAGGTTGTGTGAGATCACTCCAACAGAAGGGTGGAGGAAGAAGAATGTCGGCGAGAACCAGTGAGAGGACTTGACGATGTCCAAAAGAAGCATGCCGAAGAACATGTTTTACACAACAAAAGGTTGTGTGAGACCACTCCAACAAGTAGTTTGGAAGGAGAAGAAATCTGCAAGTTATGGCAGCAAGATGACTGCAAGGTTGGCCATAAAAGCAACAAATTTGGGCAGTAAAATAGGATGCAAGATGGCTGCAAAATGGCAGCGAAGCTGCAAGATTGGCTGCAAGTTAGGCATGAAGAGCCATTAAGGCATGAAGAGCCATGCATGAAGGCATTCAAAGTTGATTGGATATAGAAGCCTATAATCCGAGAATGAAGAACATGCTTTGAAGTTACTTCCGAAAAGGTTCAAAGAGGAGTGTTGAGATGCGAACACTTTTTGGTAATTGATGAAGATGTTGGTGTAGAAGAAAAAGTATGCAGCTGCGAAGGAGGATGTTTAGCTTTGGAAAAATTCCATAAGCTGGTTGTCGCAGCGAGGAAAAATTCCTGTCGTGGCACGAAGAAGAAACGAAGTAGAAACGTGAAGGTTGGGACGCCTACTGCAACAAAGGAAATTTTATGCTGTGACGCAAATGCGATTCACAAACTTAAGTGTTAGATTTATAAATATGAAAATAAACTTAAATTCACAAACTTAGTGCAAGTCCTATGTCCTTGTATTGCTTTCTTTGTTTTCCCTGTGCACAAGTATGACTTACAAAGGTTTAATAAAAAAATATATCCCCTAATCTGAGTAAAAAGTAAGCTTATACATTGTTAAAATTGTACTTGTAAATAAAATTAACCTGAAAGAATGACATATGGCATAAATTTATGCTTCAGCATTTACCGCACAACATAAAACACTTTCAATAATTAGAAATCAATTTGATCTTCCTACAATCCAAATAATTATATGTCAGTCATAACTAAAGTTAAAGCAGTGGGTATTATTTAACCCGTAATTAAAGAGGTCGTGCAGCATTTCTTTTTTCTTTTTTTCTATTCTGAATTCTGAATAAGGCTTTGATTTGATTCTTGATCAGGGGGGTTTAAGAGCCATCTATTGAGACGTTCAGATGCCCTTGTGACCTGTAAATCAAAGAAAAAAAAGTGTTAGTTGCCATAAATAATGATGCAAAATCTTCACGAATAAAGAATGATGAATAATACTAGTTACCTGCTTCTCCCAATCTGTTCTCCATGTCATAAAAAGAAGAGAAAGTGCTTGTATTGCCACTCCACATATCATTCCAATCCATATACCCTGTTATATTAAACAACATATATATATGTATAATAATACAACGCATTATTTGATAGATTTTAATCTCAATTAATTGTAATATCATAAACAAATTACTATGTTATTATTATCTGAAATTTTTCTTTTTTCTTTTTTTTTTTAATAATAATAATCTATTTTATTTCAAATAACATATTTCAGTCTCGATTTTGGCATGTAATCAAACATTCTAATTTTAATAGAAAATACCTTGAGTTATGAAAGGATTTCTCAAGAACACTGCAAATTACTTAAAATTTCAAAACCTCATGAATTAATTAGAATTTTACCTTCACTTCAAGATGGGCAACATATCCAAGCAGAGCTCCAATTGGCACCCCAACCATATAATAGCAACCGATATTTACATATGCAACAACACTTTGCAAACCGGCACCAACGGCAACTCCTGTTTACAATAATTTTCTAAGTAAATGCATTAATATGTAATGACAAATTTACATTCATTTTTTTATATACTGAAAAAGTATCATGTTGATACAATGGTGATGAAATGTGTTAAACTGGCTTAAATATAACTACCTTAAATCTTTATTTTATCACAGTTAAATAACAAAGATAAACAGTTTAAAAGAAATGTCGAAAATTAAATAAAAAAATGTAAATGACAGAAGCCCAAGGATCACGTAAAGCTTTGCATAAAGATGATAATTAAATTAGTTCTCAGTCCGAATAAAACCCTTGAACTCAAGAGATCTCATCTTGAGGTTCCAGGAATTTGAATTGATACGTATTTAACTTATATATGATAAATTAAATTCATTTATATATGTATATGGTCAATTAATCAATTTTACTTGCCTGAGAGGATTGGTTGGATACTGTTGAGCAAGACTGAAAAGGCAAGAGGGATAGAGAGGCTTGACACAGATTTTGCGACTTCCTCACTGCTAGTAAACACGTATGCTATTTGATGACTCCAAAATAAACATACCACTGAAAATATTACTCCAATAAACGTCCCAGTACTTAGAATGACTTTGATGGAAAATTTTGCAGCTTTAGTGTTTCCTCTCCCCAGTTCATTGGATATCCGCACGCTGAACCATCAATTGCTAGATATCAGTTTCACTTAACATGCTATTAGAAAAATATAAAATGAGAATAGTAGAGTTATATTATTGAAAATTAAGTGTCACCTTGCTGCAACTAGGAAGCCGAGGCCTATCATCAATTCCCATGTTGCAATGTTAAGGCTGCGATTCATTGTGATGAGTAGTGCTAATATTTTGTTAATTAATTTGATGTAAATGAAAGAGTAATTACCAGATTGAGAATGTAGCTATTGCAGTCTCTGCACTCTTCATATAACCGGCCAATAAGACCAGAACTGAGTTGTACCATAACTCCAAGCTATTAGATACACAGGGACAAAACCGCAAAATTAGTATAACTTGATAATGCAAATATAGATTCTATATATAGTTTATTAAGAACTTGATATACATTTTATGCATTTACAATATATGTATGACATTACTGAAGAGTAATACTACATACAAATTTTCTCATATAAACTAATGTAGCAAAAGATGATAGGGTGAAAGTTTTTTTAATTTAAAATCACCTAATTATCTTTTGTCACATCAGTTTGTATAAAAAAGTTTTTTATTAAAATTATTGTTCATTGAATGGAATAAACGGATAAAAAAAATTCTTTAAATTTTGAGGGTAATAATCACAATTAATTCCTTTTTTTAAAACCATAATATCTTGAAGTGCATTTTAATAATTACAGCACTACTTATCAAAGTTCAAAGATGTTGTAGCCAACTAAGGGGAGTTGATTTAAATGAATTATAAAGAGAGTCTATACCCTTGAATTGTCAACAAAAATAACTGTGGGTAACAAAAATATATTTTAAACTACAACATATATACTTAATTTTTACAGATGTTAATGGGGCGAGTTGGGTTGGATACTAAGAATTCTATGCTCGTTACCACCTCTTTTATGAATACTCAAATCTGTCCAATTCTCCATTCTAAAAAATGGGGCGTGTTCGAGTTTGGGTTATGTTTTTAGAGGAAAACTTTGGATCGTCTCATTCGATCCATTTTTTTTTTTTTTTTTTTTATATAAAAAGAATTCTAACACAAATATACAAACTATTTCTTAAAATAAAGTAAACAAATTGATAAATAGTAATTTTAATTATTAAATATAAAATTTATATTCAAGTTTAATAATTCTACCACAAAAATTATCCATACAAATCATAAACAAAAAAATAATGATATTGAATATAAATATAATTTTATAATAAATCTGATTTCAAATAACGTAAAATCATAATTCACAAAATAATTCATAACCTAAACAACTTAATTTGACAATATAAAAGAAAAAAATTAATATAAAGTTAATGTTAAATTTAATATAAAGTTAATGTTCATACAATTATAAAGTTGAATAAAATATATAATGTTAGTAATTATAGATTAAACAATTTAAGCACATACCTTATTTTCATATTCACAAGTGAAGAAGATGGAAAAATATCAATTTGGTAAGTCAATAGAGGAATAAGGTTGTGGTGGATAGGGTTTGTTTTTGTTTGAAAAAAATATAATATGACATTTTATAAGTAATACTTATAATCTTAATGTTAAATATTTTTTATAATTATTTATTCGTACTTATATATATTTGGGACGAATGGGACAGTTCAAGGCCAAAGTTATCATTCCCATATCTGCACCAAAATAATTTGGATCAAGATATTCAAACTTAAATCCACAAACCCAAAATTTTTACAATTCAAATTCAACCCATCAGGGTAGGGCTCCTTGGATCCCCAAACCTAGAACTAGCCCTGTGAAAATGACGGGTGGGCCGAGTAATACCCACGGGTACTCGCATTTAACTTAAACCCGAAAACCCTAAACCATTTCTCTCTCACGCAGCCCAGCACCAACAGCTCTCAATCTCTATCAGACTCTCACGCAGCTCTCAATCTCTCTTCACGCAACTCTCAATCTCTCTCTCAAGTAGCTCATCTTCTCTCTCACGCTCAACTCATCTTCTCTCTCAAAGCCTGTTTAGTTAAGTTAATGAAAATTAGTTTATAAGCAGCTAGTGCTTATAAGTATTTAAAATTTAAGAAGTTACTGGTTTGATTAAAGTACTTATAAGTGATTGATAAGTAGTTGATACGTTTAGTAAAATGTGGCTTATAAGTACATTTTATTATTAAAATGACTAAAAAATGTACTACATTATTAAAAATAAGGATATAGGATGAAATTTTAAAATTAAAGAAGAGTAATGTGGTAATATACTTGGTCAAAATAGCTTATAAGCAAAGTGTTTATAAGCAAAAAAAAAAAAAAAAAAAAAAAAAAATACTTTCCCTCCAACTTATTTCTTTTGGCTTATAAGTTCAGCTTATAAACCCAAAAAAGTTATAAACAAATAGGTCAGCTTAATTTTAGAGCTTATAAGTTAGTTTGACCAGTTCATAGGCTCAGACAAACGCCCCTCACAGGCAGCTCTCAATCTCTCTCTCTCTCTTTCTTCAGCTCTCAATTTAACTTGAATATTTATCATTTATTAAAAAATAAATAAATGATAAACATTCAAGAGCTTCTTCTACTCTTGGTAAGTGGTCATAAATTTTAGTAATAATTATTTCTTGGAGTGGGGTTAATATTATTGTTTCTATTTTGATCTGAATCCAAATCTCATCTGCTTACCCTTAATCATGATCGACCGAAATGAGTTTTCCTCCTACTTCATCCCTCTCACAGCGGCAACTTTAGCACTAATCTCTGCCATATTCTTCCTCAGATTCCATGCCAAAAAATTGCCTCAGAAGACTGAAAAACATCACCCGATCGCCACCTCTCCCCTGAACCGAGTACTCAATTATTACAAGCTCTTTGACTTAATGACTGACCTTTCACGCAAATATAAAAGCTACTGATTGTCTTCCTTCTCTAGAAATGAGATTTTCACCACTGACCCTACGCTTGTTGAGTACATCCTCAAAACAAACTTTCCAAATTATGGCAAGGTAATATCCTACTTTATTTTAGTTTTAAATAACTCAAAACATGCTTCAAAATGATAAAAGTATTTCATTTTCTTTAAATTCTTGATCCATTTCCTGTTTTATATCAATGTAGTTATATATGTAATTGTTAGTAAGTTGTTTGAATGAAAAGAAAACTAGCAAAGCTTTGTTGACTTTCATTTAGTATAGAGACATCATCTCCTCAATTCCATATGATTTTGTTTTTGTGGGTGACCCGCGGGTCAACCTGCACCCGCACGGGTGGGTACGAGTGGTGCATTTTCTTACCCGTTCAAAAAACACTTACTCGTTTACCTGTACCCGTTTGAGGTGTTACCCATGATTACCCGACCCATACCCGTATGGCTCGCCCGTTTGCCAGGTCTACCCAAACCTATGGGTTATTTTGACATCCCTATTAATTATAAGAAAAAAAGCTAGAATACAATGGTGCGGTGGTAGAGGTGGGAATTTGGGACCGAGCCCAAAAAACCGATCCTTGGAGGCCTAGTCCTAAACCCGGACCAGGCCCATGGAGGAGCGCCCGGGCCCTGGTTCGATCCCTCCTCCAGTCTTAGGCCCAAGCCCAAACCCCTTTTCCCTTTTTCCAAAAGCCCTTGGACAAAATCCAAAAACCTCCTATAAATATTGAAATTGATAAAAAATATGAGGGTTAAATTGATATTTTACCAAATAAAAAAAAAGTAAAATGAATTACACATGACCGTTGGGTGTTGGCTACCAACGGTCAGGGGCGAGTTTTTTTTTTCCAATTTCTTCTATAAATTAAATTAATCTCTTGTTCATATTATTATTCAATTTTTTCATTTTAATTATTTATTATTTTATCATAAATTCATAATAGATTCCCGAAATTATGCATTTGGAGGATTATCCTCAAATGAGTTTTACGTTCATCCACCAAAGAAATGGAAGGGTTCAATCCATTTTCACCCTTTCCGAAGGCAGCAACTGCAATTCAACAACCACATTCGGTCGAGACTCGGTGCAGCCAAACACAAGTGAGTTACAACTCCACGTCCTGACCCCGACCGTCAAAGAGGGACGTGTTCGGGGTATGGCGATACTTCACCAAATCAAAACAAACAAAGACAAATGGGGAGGGAGAAGAAACGTGCGGGGTATGTAATTTATATACAACCATTATCGGCATTGAGAACGAGACTTCGACGATGTTGCGACAGTTGGAGAAGAAGCACCCCCAATTAATGTAGCTATCTGGTTCATATTCAACCGAACTCGATAAGCAAATTGAAACTCAACTTAATTTTAATCCACAATCCTCAACTTTGTCAACATGGCAATACAATGCACTCCAAGCATGAGAGGAAACAGCAAGATACATAGTTGCTACGGACTCTCCCATTTCTTTATATGAAAATCCTTATTTTATTCACATGATTAAAAATGCATTTTGTCCAGCATATACCCCTTTAGTAAAGGTACAAGTTTTATGACAAAATAAATGTTCAACTTAAAAACAAATTTCAAAATTTTAGGAATATATTTATTGCACTTACTTCAGACATATGGGCTTGTAGATCAAAAACAGATTTTTTAATTGTCACAATACATTACTTATATCACAGCAACAAAAATTGATAGGTTTTAAACCGTTATATACTGCACATAATGCTGACACTATTTATTTTACAATTATTGAAGTTTTACAAGAATATGTATTAACAGATAGAGTTGTAGCGCTAACGCTAGATAATGCAGTTGTTAACACCGTGGCTATCTCTTTATTTGAAAAGAGATTGGATCCGCGTGGTGAAAGCAAATTTTTTCACCAGAGATGTGCTTGTCACATCATCAATTTGTTTGTTAAAGTAGATTTAAAAGCTATAAATTCAAAGATTGAGAGGGTGTGCACAGATATCGGATTCATCATCAGTGGTAGTAATAAAAGATGGCAGGAGTATGTCAAATATTGTAAGTAAAAGGACTCACCGATTCGACCTTTGAAGTTATGTACAGACATACCTATCCGTTGAAACTCCACCTACTTGATGTTGGAAAAAGTTTTGCCAACCACAAGACAAATTACAGATTTCTTCCAGGAAGAACTATCCGGAGGAAGTTGTCAACTATGATGATTAGACAGTTTGCGAACTTTTTTATTCATTTCTTAAAGTTTTTTATGATTACACTAATAATTAAATGGTATTTATTATCCTACTACTAATTTAGCGTTAGATATTTTGCTTCAAATTTCTAAAACGTTTGCTAAATATAGATATAATGACGTCTTAATGGAAATTATTTCAAAGATGGAAAAAAATATGAGAAGTATTGGTTAGATATTCCATTCTT